AATAACTGCTTATGTCCAAAGAATTAAGGGCAGATATGGTATGTAAACTGTGTACTCATTAAACAATATGAAAAAATACAGAGGAAAAAACTCTAGAAAAAAATGGGCCAAACTACCAACAGTCTGGTAGTAAGGTGAATTTTTTAAAAATTTGTCTATATTTTGCATTTCCCAAATATACCATAAGAGTATTTTTATAATTGAAAAAACAAGTGATTTTTAAGAGAGACCCAAGATTTGGTTTTTGACAGCTCTAGCTTTGACAGTTTCCATGCTCATTTTCTCATTCCTTTTGAGCTAATTTTATTTTTATCTAAAGCGTTTAAATTTGTGATGATTTCATCTTGCCATATGTTTCATATCCTTCTCCAGCCATTAGGCTTCTATGTTTTTCTCCCAGAACCCACAGTTCTGTTTAGTAAAATGTTTTTGCCAGAGTCTCACCTAGTCTAAGATAAATCTTCACCTAGGAATTACCTGCAAGTGTTGACGAATGGTAGTCAGCAGCTAAGGAGGTGGCAATTTAGGTAATTGATTCTGGCTCAAATCCTTAAGACAGTAACTTCTTTTATATGTTGGAAAGGAATTGTGTGTTTCTTAGATCTATTAGACTTGAAATGTGCATAAGGGACATGAGGTGTGTGGAAAAGAGCATGCATTGTAGTTTTTAGTGCAGTTCAAGCTCAGTAAAGCAAGTGGTGAAAATATGCATAAAAGCTGCTGAATGGAGAATCTGTGCCCAGTTCCTGGCTTCAAGGTGCTTCCTCCCTGTTAGGTACTGTATGCCACTAACAGCAGTGTTATTACTGACAAGTCTTCATAGCTCTTCTTGCTCATTGGCTGGTGCCAGGGGCTGATCCTCTGCCTCCTTTTTCCTTGCTTATGCCACTGTTCACTCCTCTTGGGTACATTCCCTACATTATTTCTGCCATCTTCTAGGCCCTTTTCTGTTGTCACTAAGAGCATCATTTCCCTGACAATACTTGTTTCAAAGTTTCCATGATATTATTATAGAAACATGATATTATTAGATATAATAATTTTCAGGGCAGGAAGTAATAAATGTAGACCTAAGCACTACCTGAGAGCGCTGCACCAGAAAGCTCACGGCACTTGGATGCAGCAAACTTCAAAAACAGCCTGTATGATCAAGGCAAAAGGAGGAGGATGCGCAGACAGGGGCTGTTGCATGCTCGGTCAGTTGACGGCTTACACCTTCCACCACTGGGGTTGCCAGAGTGGGAACGGTCTTGACTTCCATGCTTCCTGTGCTATGTAACAGCAACTGTTTTCTACCAATGCATAGATATTGTTAATAAAATGATGTCTTTTAAACTTTTAGCTTTGATCTCAACATACTTAACATCTGGCTTGAAATCATAGCAGCAGAGATGAGTTTTCTACTTTTGTCTCAATTCTAAAAGTGATCAAAATAAGAACTAACAATGCATCATTATGTACTTAAAATAGAACCAAACTGTTTTCTTGTGGCATGATGTTAATATTTTGGCAGGAAAGTATAATTCCTTACCAGTAGTGGTAAACTAAAGCAGATCTTTGGCTTTAAGTATTAGCCAACATTTAAAAAACAATAGTTTTGAAGTTTGAAAAAAACAAAAAAAT